AGTTAAATTTAAGATTTAGTTTTTAGTTTCGAAACATGGTAATTTCTGTGTCGCGATGAATACATATTTTTAAATAATAATTATATATATATATATATATATATACATAATTATATATATATATATATATATATATATATATATATATATATATAAAGTGAACATTGAAATCAACAATTAGAGGCGACAGACGCAACCGGTGGCCTGGCTATTGCGTCTAGCATGAAAGAACCTGTCGCCTCTTGACTTCAATGTCCCTTTTATAATTACATCCGCTCTATCACTGATACTGAGAACTTTAACCCATAAATATAGCACATTAAGACTATATTTCTTCATATATATATATATATATATATATATATATATATATATATATATATATGATTAAGGCTGTCTGTTTCTGTTTGAATTGATATATATATATATATATATATATATATATATATATATATATATATATATATATATATTTTTTTGCATCTTCATAGATAATATTTTTGAACAGTTTAAAAATAATGCATTTCCGATTGACCGGTTGCATCAGTCACTGGGGTTTTAAAATTCATGCTAAAAAATTCAGGTGTGGCACTATATATGAAATCAGCTTATACACGAGTATATATATATATATATATATATATATATATATATATATATATATATGTGTGTGTGTGTGTGTGTGTGTGTGTGTGTGTAAAATATCTTATTTTTAGTTATCTATTTAAAGCCTGTGTCAGGTATAGAAAATTTTCAAATGATTTGTTTATCTTGTTTATTTATTTTATCCTTTTACCTTAGTGAGAGAGCTTCTTCATATTGTCTAAAGGCAGAATATGGCGGCCTCTCTGAATTCTTTTGAGAATTTGACGGGTCTAATATCAGTTATCCTTTAATTTTGTGAATTTGTTTTGATATTTTAGTTTATTTGGGGGTTCATTCCCCCCTTCATTATGTATCATCGACAGATTTTATATCAAGAATTTTATAATCGTTAATTTTTATGTCATGGGGTGTTTCTTATAAGTCCCCTTAGAGTATGCGGTATTGTCGTATATGGAGGATTGAATGACGATGGGTAAGTTCTTTTGGTGGATGTTCAAATTGTAATGAATAATTGGGTTGTGAATCTGATTAGATAAGTATAAGATAGTAAGTGATGACCATTCCCTCCCTCGCAAATTTTCGTCTTTATGCCAGAATTGTATTTTATATACAATAAATCTAGACAATTGAAAATGGATCTGAAAATAAGCCTATGATTGTTCAGGAGACGTGTATAAAACGGGATTGGATCCAATGAATGTATCGTTGTTTATCTGATGGGATTACAGAGGAGGAATTCTCTTTGAGGTTCTTCCAGTCGGCAAAACAATAAGTATTCCGATCAAATCACCGATCCAATCTCAATACGGCTGTTCAAGAAAAAAAATGGTTAATTTTGGCAAATCCAAAAGCTGTCATTTTCCACGACGACGACGACGACGTGAGATTGCAGGCTGCAAAACAAACCTAACAGAAGCATAAAGAGCTGAAATGGGAAAATCCTCCAACACCACCGTATTATCCCGTCTTGGATCCTTCGGATTTTCATTTCTTCCGGACTCTGCAGAAGAATTTAAATGAAAATGAATTTGACTCTCGACTTCATCAAACAAACCTTTATCAAACAAACACAAAAACAAAGTTTCTACAAAATGGGCCCCAACAAGCTTTAAGAATAATGGGAGGCAGTTGCAAATAACAATGGAGACTGTCTACTTGACTAGTAAATGATTTTTGACTATGTAAAATTAAGTTTTTAATATTCAAACGGGCACGAACTTATGAAATGTTCTAATATATATATATATATATATATATATATATATATATATATATATAATAAATATATATATAAAACTCAGAGGTGACAGGCTGTTTCATACTAGACCCAATCGTCAGGCCGCCGATTGCGTCTAACATGAAACAACCTATCGCCTCTAGATTGTTGACGTCAATGTTCACTTATATATATATATATATATATATATATATATATATATATTTACACACTCTATCTCTGATATTGAGCACATTATACCATAAACATAGCACACCTTAAAACTATATTTTTCATATATATATATATATATATATATATATCAGAAATATATATATATATATATATATATATATTTTTATATATATATATATATATATATATATATATATATATATATATTTCGATATATATATTTCGATATATATATATATATCGAAATATATATCTGTCGAAATATATATATATATATATTTCGAGATATATATATATATATATATATATATATATATATCGAAATATTTATATATATATATCGAAATATATATATATATATTTCGATATATATATATATATTTATATATATATATATATATATATATATATATATATATATATATATAGTACAGGTAATGTCCGTTGGTATATAATCTAAGTAGATAATTTCTGTATCAATTTTTTCGCTGCTATCAAAGTTAAATTTTTAAATTTCTAATTCCGACACGAACACAGTCTATACACCGGGGTTGAATAAGACAAACGTTTTTTCGTGTTGGTTGAAATAGATCTATGCCCCACCATATGAAGTAATTTTGGATTCTGTTGTGTAATATATATATATATATATATATATATATATATATATATATATATATTATTTCGCTCACTAGGTAGACTGTTTCTAATTCCAGGTGCCATGTCTAATGGATGTCAATTATCATTTATCTTCTGTTAATTCACCTCTCCAATTTCTCTACTTCCTTAACCAGGTATTGAACTCGCAAATCTTTTAGTCCTGTCATTGGATCTAACTAACGCCTTTATCCACTTTACTATGTGCCCTTGAGGACACCCGGCACTGTGGATAAAGTCGTTAGAACTTAATATATGTGGTAGTTACATACAGATCTGGAGTTAACTAACATATCTTAGTTTGTAGACAGCAGTATCAGCGTAAACAGCGGATTAAAGAATAAACGTCTCAACCCCACTAATAGAGGGATTGAAACTGCAGTTACGTTGTGGTGTAGCCACGGTCAAATGCGAAATAAGTCATGTCAACAAACTGAATTAACAAAGTTTGCAATAAGGAACAGTAATATTATTATCATTTTGAATCTCAAATAAGTTTACAATAAGCTTTAGTTATTTGGCAAAATGTACACAAAAGCAAGTTCGGACTATCGAACATAGTATTCTGACTTCAAGACAAGTTAGATCGGGTCTGAGTCATATGAAACCGAGAACTGGCTTATTTCATTGGCTAGAAAGAAATCCCAGCATGCATTTGTATACTTTTGCCTTTAAATTGGGGGAGGAGAAAGTCTTTTGCAGTCATTCCTTAATTTCAGTAAAAGCAACATACGTCACATAATGCTCTGTGAGTTCAAGCAAGAGAATAACGTGATGAAGGCATAGAAAATAATGTCTAGTATCATGGTTAACGAGTCAAAACTGATCGGGAAGTATGAAATTTTCAATGTTTCGTCCAGGAGAAACGTTGTTGGAAAATGAGCCCAGACCGTGGAGCTTATCGGATATTGATGATTAAGTTCTAAAGTCATTAAGAGAAGGCGATCATCGGCAAAAGTACTTGGGAATACTTAGAAATACTAAACACATCTCGATCTATCAAAAGACGGCACATAGAAAATATAGCAAAGTCGGCGAACTTATTGTTTGAGTTCTAAACGCACTTAGCGAAAAGAAGAAAGATGATTTTTTATTCATAGCGACATAATTCTTTCATAACAAAGAAATAAAATATTCCTAAAATAAATCATAACAGGAGATGTATAATATGTTACATACGACAATTTTCAATACAAAATACAAATAAAAAATACATCTCCACTAAGCGTCTTGGGTAAGACGATAAACTACATCGGCGTTCTGTGTAAAAAAGGTAAACTACACCCAACAGCAAAGGCTCTGATAAGGAGGTTTTGAGGTGTGTGGAACCATCTCTTAATTGCTAATTGGATGGTAGTACCTGTTAAGGTCCCAGCTATAGGCAAATAGTTAAGCCCCAAACTGGGACGAAAACGTGTAGAAAAAAGTGGAAAAAAGAAGAAAAAAAAGGTTTTAATACCAGCAATACATTTCTGTAAAAAGATTATTACCAGCAATAAATTTTCGAAGAAAAAAATTATGAGCAGCAATACATTATTGCCAGCTATACTTTTGGGGGGAAACTATTACCAGCAATATATTTTTTGGAAAAAAAATATTACCAGCAATACATTTTTGAAGAAAAAATTATTACCAGCAATACAATATTACCAGCAATACATCTTTGAAAAAAAATATTACCAGCAGTAAAAGTCTTGTAGGCACCAAATAACCCACTGCGGTTGATATGCCGTAAAACGAAGTAAAGCAAACGAAACCAAACCATGTTCACCAATCAACCTTCACCACAAAATTAAAACTTCACCACCACCCTAATTCGTCGAGGTAGACCACAGATGGACAGCAAGAAAGGTGAGGTGATGTCACGGTATAATTCGTCGAAGTAGAAAACAGGTGGACAGCGCCAAAGGTGAGGTGACGTCACGGTATAATTCGTCGAGGTGGACCACATGTGCACCGCACGAAAGGTGAGGTGAGGTCACAGAATAATTCGTCGATGTAGACGACAGGTGGACAGCAAGAAATGTGAGGTGAGGTCACGGTATAATTCGTCGAGGTAGAAAACAGGTGGACAGCGCGGAAGGTGAGGTGAGGTCACGGTATAATTCGTCGATGTAGACCACAGGTGGACAGCACGAAATGTTAGGTTAGGTCACGGTATAATTCGTCGATATAGACCTCAGGTGGACAGCAAGAAATGTGAGGTGAGGTCACGGTATAATTCGTCGAGTTAGACCACAGATGGACAGCGCGAAAGGTGAGGTTAGGTCACGATATAATTCGTCGATATAGACCTCAGGTGGACAGCAAGAAAGGTGAGGTGATGTCAGGGTATAATTCGTCGAGTTAGACCACAGATGGACAACGCGAAAGGTGAGGTGATGTCACGGTATAATTCGTCGAGATAGACCACTGGTTGACAGCAAGAATGGTGAGGTGAGGTCACGGTATAATTCTTTTGAGGTGGAACACAGGTGGACTGCGCGAAAGGTGAGGTGAGGTTACGGTATAATTCGTCGATGTAGACTACAGGTGGACAGCACGAAATGTTAGGTTAGGTCACGGTATAATTCATCGATATAGACCTCAGGTGGACAGCAAGAAGTGTGAGGTGAGGTCACGGTATAATTCGTCGAGGTAGACCACTTGGACAGCACGAAAGTTGAGGTGAGGTCACTGTAAAATTTGTCGAGGTAGACCACCGGTGGACAGCACGAAATGTTAGGTTATGTCACGGTATAATTCGTCGAGGTAGACCACAGATGGACATCAAGAAAGGTTAGTTGAGGTCACGGTATAATTCGTCACGGTAGAACACAGGTGGACAGAACGAAAGTTGAGGTGAGGTCACGGTATAATTCGTCGATGTACACCACAGGTGGACAGCAAGAATGGTGAGTTGACCTGATGGTAGAGTTCATCGTGGTCGACCAAATGTGGACGGCACGAAAGGTGAGGATGTCACGATATATTTCCTCGAGGTAGACCGCAGGTGGACGGCACGAAAGCTCAGCTGAGCCGATGGCAGAGTTCATCGTGGATGGCACAAAAGGTGAGGTGAGGTCACGGTATAAGACGTCGAGGTAGACGGCAGGTGGACAGTTGGAAGAAATGTAAGTTGAGATTTCATCGAGGTTAGCGGAAATTATTTATTTAGCAAAGTTTAAAGGCACTATTCAACTTTGCCTGGTGATCGACGCAGTTTGTCTTTGAGAGGACAAATCCCGCTAGTATCTAATTCTGGAAGAACGCAGGACTGAATCCTTCCTTCAAAGCGAATAGTAAGATTTCTCGAATATTTATGTTGGTAGACTAAATATACTGATTGATAAATAAACGGCACGTCTACGTAAATACGAGTATCCAGTAAAATAGCTTTTACGTAATAAACATATGTCGGATTAATAGATAAAAGAATCCATCATCTTTCTTTACAAATTGCTTTGTTTACGTTAGAATATGAAAATGAGTAGAATCAGAGAAAAATCTGTTTTTCCGTTATCTATCTATCTATCTATCTATCTATCCTTAATATGCTTATCAATGCCTGTCTATTTCACTCTTTATGTATGTATGTATGTATCACATTTTGCTTCTATCTATCTATCTATCTATCTATCTATCTATCTATCTATCTATCTATCTATCCTTAATATGCCTATCAATGCCTGTCTATTTCACACTTTATGTATGTATGTATGTATGTATGTATCACATTTCGCTTCTATCTATCTATCTATCTATCTATCCTTAATATGCCTATCAATTCCTGTCTATTTCACACTTTATGTATGTATGTATCACATTTTGCTTCTATCTATCTATCTATCTATCTATCTATCCTTAATATGCCTATCAATGCCTGTCTATTTCACACTTTATGTATGTATGTATGTATGTATGTATGTATCACATTTCGCTTCTATCTATCTATCTATCTATCTATCTATCTATCTATCTATCTATCTATCTATCCTTAATAGGCCTATCAATGCCTGTCTATTTCACACTTTATGTATGTATGTATCACATTTTGCTTCTATCTATCTATCTATCTATCTATCTATCTATCTATCTATCTATCATATATGCCTATCAATGCCTGTCTATTTCACACTTTATGTATGTATGTATCACATTTTGCTTCTATCTATCTATCTATCTATCTATCTATCTATCTATCTATCCTTAATATGCCTATCAATTCCTGTCTATTTCACACTTTATGTATGTATGTATCACATTTTGCTTCTATCTATCTATCTATCTATCTATCTATCTATCTATCTATCTATCTATCCTTAATATGCCTATCAATGCCTGTCTATTTCACACTTTATGTATGTATGTATCACATTTTGCTTCTATCTATCTATCTATCTATCTATCTATCTATCTATCTATCTATCTATCTATCTATCTATCTATCTATCCTTAATATGCCTATCAATGCCTGTCTATTTCACACTTTATGTATGTATGTATGTATGTATGTATCACATTTCGCTTCTATCTATCTATCTATCTATCTATCTATCCTTAATATGCCTATCAATGCCTGTCTATTTCACACTTTATGTATGTATGTATCACATTTTGCTTCTATCTATCTATCTATCTATCTATCTATCTATCTATCTATCTATCTATCCTTAATATGCCTATCAATGCCTGTCTATTTCACACTTTATGTATGTATGTATGTATGTATGTATCACATTTCGCTTCTATCTATCTATCTATCTATCCTTAATATGCCTATCAATTCCTGTCTATTTCACACTTTATGTATGTATGTATCACATTTTGCTTCTATCTATCTATCTATCTATCTATCTATCTATCTATCTATCTATCTATCTATCTATCTATCTATCCTTAATATGCCTATCAATTCCTGTCTATTTCACACTTTATGTATGTATGTATGTATCACATTTCGCTTCTATCTATCTATCTATCTATCTATCTATCCTTAATATGCCTATCAATTCCTGTCTATTTCACACTTTATGTATGTATGTATCACATTTTGCTTCTATCTATCTATCTATCTATCTATCTATCTATCCTTAATATGCCTATCAATGCCTGTCTATTTCACACTTTATGTATGTATGTATCACATTTTGCTTCTATCTATCTATCTATCTATCTATCTATCTATCTATCTATCCTTAATATGCCTATCAATTCCTGTCTATTTCACACTTTATGTATGTATGTATCACATTTTGCTTCTATCTATCTATCTATCTATCTATCTATCCTTAATATGCCTATCAATTCCTGTCTATTTCACACTTTATGTATGTATGTATCACATTTCGCTTCTATCTATCTATCTATCTATCTATCCTTAATATGCCTATCAATTCCTGTCTATTTCACACTTTATGTATGTATGTATCACATTTTGCTTCTATCTATCTATCTATCTATCTATCTATCTATCTATCTATCTATCCTTAATATGCCTATCAATTCCTGTCTATTTCACACTTTATGTATGTATGTATGTATGTATGTATCACATTTCGCTTCTATCTATCTATCTATCTATCTATCTATCTATCTATCTATCCTTAATATGCCTATCAATTCCTGTCTATTTCACACTTTATGTATGTATGTATCACATTTCGCTTCTATCTATCTATCTATCTATCTATCTATCCTTAATATGCCTATCAATGCCTGTCTATTTCACACTTTATGTATGTATGTATGTATGTATGTATCACATTTCGCTTCTATCTATCTATCTATCTATCTATCTATCTATCCTTAATATGCCTATCAATTCCTGTCTATTTCACACTTTATGTATGTATGTATGTATCACATTTTGCTTCTATCTATCTATCTATCTATCTATCTATCTATCTTCAATATGCCTATCAATGCCTGTCTATTTCACACTTTATGTATGTATGTATGTATGTATCACATTTTGCTCCTATCTATCTATCTATCTATCTATCTATCTATCTATCTATCTATCTATCTATCTATCTTCAATATGCCTATCAATGCCTGTCTATTTCACACTTTATGTATGTATGTATGTATGTATCACATTTTGCTCCTATCTATCTATCTATCTATCTATCTATCTATCTATCTATCTTCAATATGCCTATCAATGCCTGTCTATTTCACACTTTATGTATGTATGTATGTATGTATGTATGTATGTATGTATGTATGTATCACATTTTGCTCCTATCTATCTATCTATCTATCTATCTATCTATTTCATTTTATTCATATATCTATCTCATTCTGTTCATATCTATCTATCTATCTATCTATGTATCTATCCTTAATATGCCTATCAATGCCTGTCTATTTCACACTTTATGTATGTATGTATGCATCACATTTTGTTCTTAACAATCTATCTATCGATCTATTTATCTGTCTATCTATCTGTCCAATTTTCGGGCCGCTTGACATTAATGATTTATAGATTAAAGGCTATAATTAATACTAGATTTTTATTACAATTTCTAAAATTAATAACGGCTTTAAAGGTAGGCATCAACCGTTTAAGTTGATTGTTCATAAGATTTTAAAGCTAGTGTGTCGGTTTTGAAGTTAGTGTCCGGGTTAAACCAGTTGGTTAAATTAAGTTGGGTGCACACAGCTATGGTTTAAATCTTGCGTTCGGTTATATAAACATTAATGAAAAGTGATAAAAAAAAAGTCACACGTGATGTATTGAAATTTCTGGGATAAATAATAAGGAATGAAGGCTTGGAGAAGTTGACACTCACAGGACATATTAACGACAAGAAAGGCAGAGGAAAACATCTATCTATCTATCTATCTATCTATCTATCTATCTATCTCCTTCTATTAATATATATCTATATTTCTATCTCTCTCTCACTGTATGTATTCTGATTATGTCTATCTATGTTTGTTTATTTTAATCTGAATCTATCTATCTATCTATCTATCTATCTGAGTCTGTTTCTTTCTATCTATCTATCTATCTATCTATCTATCTATCTATCTATCTATCTATCTATCTCATTCTGTTCATTATCTATCTATCTCTGTTTCTATCTATCTATCTATCTATCTATCTATCTATCTATCTATCTCATTCTGTTCATTATCTATCTATCTATCTATCTATCTATCTATCTATCTATCTATCTCATTCTGTTCATTATCTATCTATCTCTGTTTCTATCTATCTATCTATCTATCTATCTATCTATCTATCTATCTATCTATCTGAGTCTGTTTCTTTCTATCTATCTATCTATCTATCTATCTATCTCATTCTGTTCATTATCTATCTATCTCTGTTTCTATCTATCTATCTATCTATCTATCTATCTATCTATCTCATTCTGTTCATTATCTATCTATCTCTGTTTCTATCTATCTATCTATCTATCTATCTATCTATCTATCTATCTATCTGAGTCTGTTTCTTTCTATCTATCTATCTATCTATCTATCTATCTATCTATCTATCTATCTGAGTCTGTTTCTTTCTATCTATCTATCTATCTATCTATCTATCTATCTATCTATCTATCTATCTATCTCATTCTACTCGTCTATCTTGCACTGTTCAACGACAACCAATGTTTTAAAACTATATTGAAACATTTTTGTGTTTCAAGGTTCCATTTTTTTATTGCGCTTTTTTTAAATAGATAGCGGAGTAGGGACTGGGGGTGAATGTGACAGGCATTGCCACAAACGATTTGAAGCTGTGAAGAGACATGATCGCCCAAGTCCTGTAGGGACTCTTCAAATAAAAGAAAGCAAGGTGTTTTATTGCCCCAAATCTGGCGAATGTCCAGGAATCATTTTTAAAGGTTTCTATCATTCTTTCGAAGACATCCTATTAACTGTGTATTTTTCCTTTGGTTAGAACGAGAGTGATAGTTTTGTTCTTCATCACGTAATATTCTTGAGAAATTTGTTTTCAAGTCCGTCCGTCCTTCCTAAATCTCTCTGGCTCAAGTTCAGCTTCGTCAGCTTTATAACTCCTGAGGTGATAAGAACGGAGATGTTGGCGGTAATGACTTCCACCATGGTGCTCATGATGACAATGTCTGTCATAAACAAAATCATTATCATAATACCTTATCGAAAATCAAACCCCCACCTCCTTAGATTTGCAACTGTTCCCGCCAACCCTTAACGATTTTCCTGCGTCTCCGATGACAGTCCTCAAAATGGCTGCATCTGTCATTATCAGCAATATGGCGTCTCTGAACAAGACAAGCGCCAATCTCCTGCCGTTAATAAGTCGGGCCTCATCCATTTTTAATGAAGGGCCGAGCATCTGTGACGCATTTTCACTTCCCCTATCAATCAATTAGACTCCAAAGACACTCTCATCACTTTCACAGTCGCTTGCCTCCCATTATCGTCTCTTTAAAAAAAAAATTATCTGTTCTCAAGGGAAAAAGACTGGGCCAGGCTCATCATTTTTAATAAGGCTGGTTTTCTTTCGATTTGCTTATTGGGTCCGACCATCTGGACGTCTGGTTTTGCGTGTCTCCGATGGTCATTTGTTCTATTAGATTCGGTTTCAACAATGTCGTCTGTCTGTCTGGCGGGAAACCATTTCCTGCGTTTGTTTAAGCAATTATCAGAATTTGTTATCGCGTAAGCAAAATATGCATATATGTTTGCATGGAGAAAGTTTTTCTTTTTTTTTTTTACAATACATTATGTATGAACATTCGTAAACAAATCTTTCTTTGTTTCTTTCATTCTTTCTTTCTTTCGTACGATCTATCTATCTCAGTCAGTACATATCTATCTATCTATCTATCTATCTATCTATCTATCTATCTATCTCAGTCTTTACTTATCTATCTCAGTATGTTCATATCTATCTATCTATTTATCTATCTCAGTCTGTACTTATCTATCTCAGTGTGTACATATCTATGTATCTATCTCAGTCCGATCATATCTATCTATCTATCTATCTATCTATCTATCTATCTATCTATCTATCTATTCTGATTATGTTTATTTTATGTTTGTCTCAAAAGTACATTGACATATTTTTGTATGCATAAAGGTTCCTATTTTTGTTAATACGGATGACCATACACAACGTTATCAGAAAATAAGGGCGGTAAATATAGTAAATCTAAAGCAAAAGTTCTTAAAAGCTCGTAAAATTCAATAAAACGTATTTTTATTTAATCAAATTTTAAGATATAAAAAAGCGCTTACATTGTATTCGTTAAGTAATATTTACAGATATGTCCTCCGTAGAAAAAAATTTCAAACATAAGTCTATCGAGATAAATGTTAACACCTAATGAAACATCCAACTAAGTTTTCAAAAGACTTTCTTAATATTTTCAATATTTGTCTCAAATTCGATTAATTAAACTTTAAAACAAATTAATCTTTATCAAATAAAGCTCCTCAAAAGAATTTTGAAGATTTTTAAAAGATTACGCTCTGCTGACAGATTTATAAATATGGCTAAAATCAGCCATTTTTTAGCAATTTAAAATAAATCAGTTTAAATTACTTTTGAAATATAGCAAAGTATTTTACTTGTTGGAAATGTTCATTTTTATTTATTAACTTGAAATTAAGACTAAAATAAAACCGTAAGAAAAAAAAATTCATTCTAAAACATAAACGCTTTTCTTTCAAAGATATCTAAGCTAAGTGTTGTGACATAGGCAAAATGTCTTTAAAGACAAAAACATGGACTTTTTTTATATTTATTCTGATACATTTTAGGATGCAGCTTGAAATTAATTTGTTTGTCTAGTCATAATCACGTAAATTCATCAAACACTCTTTGCCTACAAAATACTCTGTTGTCTTTGATAATACTCTATTTATTCTGATTTAAATTTGTAAAAGTTATCAAAATCAACAAAAATAATAATTTTGATTTAAAGTTTATTAATATTTTTTATTTTTTATCTATATCTTAAAATTCTTTTCCACACTTCCATTGGAGTGTTCATGATTTTTATCTCGGCATAATGAAGACTGATCTTGATCGTCTATATGTGCCCAGATCCGAAGGAGGTAGAGGATTAGTTCAACTAGAACTGTTTCACAAAACTACAAAAATTGACCTTCAATGGTACCTGGAAACTATAGAATATTGGATGATGATATGAGTCAAAGAACATGAAAGAAGTAAGAAATTTTATGCACCAAACTCAAAATGCAATTTCAAGTGGTTGAAGAAATACAAGTAAAACGTAATACACCGACTGTAGCTGCCAAATACTTAAAGAAGAAAGCCAATGCAATTGACCAGGTACAGAAACGATGCCAAGATAAACCGCTTCACGGGCAATAATCTGTCCGTAACAAACAAGCTGTGGTAAACAAACCCCTTACCCATCAGTGGTTACGTGGGGCAGGGTTACAAGCTGAGACCGAAGGTTTTATTCTTGCTGCAAAAGACCAATGCTTGTTAACTAGAAATTCCCAAGCACATATACTGAAAATTGTGTGAGACCAAAATGCAGATCCTGCGATAAATATCCAGAAACAATTGACCATTTAGTATCAGGTTGGCATCAACTGAATATGAGTGGGCGAATACCTACATTGGAAAATCTGCAACTTTTACGGAAAGTAAAGTTACCCAAACCCGTTTACGGAGATAGGGCCTGTAACAATTTTATGCGCCTTTACAATACACACATGCATAAGAATCAAAGCTAATTGACCAGACATCGTGATCAGAGGCCACAAAAACAGAATATGCCTTCTTAGTGAGATGGCAGTCCCTGCAGGTGGTAAATTTAAAAAAAAACTGTCAAAGTGCAAGGAACTTGAAATCGAAATCTCAAATAAAATAAAATAAAATAAAAACTGAAAGCGAAGGTTTTATTCTTGCTGCATGAGACCAATGCTTGCTAACTATACTTGCACATAAACTGAAAAACTATGTTAGACCAAAATGCAGATTCTGTGATAAATATTCAGAAACAATTGAACATCTTGTATCGGTTTGCACAGTGTTAGCTCTAAGTGAATATAAAACTCAGCATGACAGAGTGGACCAATATCTTCATTGGAAAATCTGCAACATTTAGGGAAAAGAAACTGCAAAGAATTGGTAGGAACACTACCCAGACCCGGTTACAGATATAGGACCTGTAAGAATTTTATGCTATTTGACAATACACACATGCATAAGAATCAAAGCTAATTGACCAGACATCGTGATCAGAGGCCACAAAAACAGAATATGCCTTCTTAGTGAGATGGCAGTCCCTGCAGGCTGCAAATTAAAAAAAAAAAAAAAAAAAACTATTAAAGTGCAAGGACCTTGAAATCGAAATCTCAAAAATATGGCACGTGAAGACATCGACAATTCCATTTGTAGTTGGAAACCTCAGGTTGAGTGGAAAAGGTTCCGATAGACTTATTGAAGGGGTTCCTGGTAACGTAAGCCTGAAAGAAATGTACTCACAAGTACAGCTCACACGTTACAAAGGCTTTATCTACGTAAAATGCGTGTGATCTTAAGGATTTTTGGTTTTGTGTTTTTCACAATAATGATCAATGAAAAATGCTATGAACTATTTCTAACCTTAGGTCTCTGGGTGGGACCCGGAAGAAAATGTATATGCAACAGAAATCAAAGGAAATAATAATAATAATAATAATAATAATAATAATAATAATAATAATTCCGTAACAGGAAAGTAATATACTTTTATCACCCGTTCAACAGTACCATCAAAACCAATGTCGCAACAATGTTTCTGTAAATGATAAGTAAACACTTTGCTGGAAACAATCTGATAAATTGTTCTAGAAGAGCAACATAAACGTCAGGTACATCTGCACTGGAAACAAAGGTTAAAATAGCAGTCACAGTAATAAAGTAGATGAAATCAATGGCAGTTCAGATTGTAAAGAAATGCAACTACCGAATTAAGGAAGAATGTCCTTTACAGAATAAATATTTAAAGACAAGTATAATAGATAAGTCCATAATAAGTAGCGATAACGATGGAAAGTGTTATATTCGGGCTGCAGGTTGAGAATGGAAAAAAAACGATACGACAATCATAAATTGCGTCTAGACTATGAAAGTTATAAAATGTCACAATGTTACTTACATACTACTGGAAAATTAAAGAAACAGTTAAAACAGATCCTACTAAGTACGATGATTGTGTTTGGAGATAAGGGCAGGAAATTTAATTTGTTCATCTCAGAATGTCTGGTAATCTTGCAGGGCAAAGGTGAATGGAAAATTGTTAAATAAATGATTGGGGCTTATATCTAAATGAAGACACAAAAATAAATTCCTGATTAAGAACGTTGGTGTGTTATGATTAATCATAAACTTTATTCCCCTGGCCCACCATGTTGCTACATACATCCGGGCCACTTGAGTAGTATACCCAAGGTGGTGTTATGGAAAGCGGCGCGGAATGCGAGTTGTGATAATTGTATTCACTTTAACACAAATACCTTTCATGAAGGTATATGCATATATATATATATATATATATATATATATATATATATATATATGTATGTATGTATGTATATAAATGTAAAAGAGAATAGGAAAACTGTAATATTAGATGGTGTTAAGGGAAGCGGCGTGGAATTCGAGTTGAGATAATTGCATTCACTTTCGCACAAATACCTTTCATAAAGGTATATGCATATATATATATATATATATATATATGTAAAAGACAATAGGAAAACTGTAATATTAGCTGGTGTTAGGGAAAACTGTTAGGGAAAATTAATATTAGCCCACGCGTTTCGTCTAATGAGGACTTTTGCAAGGCAAAAACGAAATGAATTTATCAAACCTAAGTAACTAATAATAACAAAACAAAATGTCCTTAACAAATGGAAGAATTTAGAGAACTCTATTTTCATACTGTTAACTGAAAATTGTGTCAAGTACTGTCACGTGTGGAGATATTGTTTTTATTGTTGTGTTGATGAATTCAACCATTTTCTTTTGATTTCTTGATACTATTCTGTAAGTTTGCTTGGGAGAGTAGTAATTCAGTTAGAAAAGGTGAAATAGGGGAAAAGCCTGGGCGTAGATTAATATTTGCTTTCCCAACGAGCATTGAAGAAAGACTTCAAAATGAAATCGTACGTGAAATGTGTGAGGCACCTTGGATTGAAAGTTAGAAGATTAGATAGGGCGAGGATCATCTTGAGTAAATTGGAAAATCATCCTGGAATAAGATATCTATCTATTAGTGGACACTGAGGTCAACATTCAGTTTCACGCTTAAACACAATCTTCAGGCCATCGTGAGTATAGCCTGAAATTGGGTTTTATATTTACATTTGCTCTATTCCTGATATTGAGCACTTTAACTGACAAATCTAGCATGCTTTAAAACTATATATATATATATATATATATATATATATATATATATATATATATATATATATACAATAAACGTGCAATCAATTTACAAATACATGAATTATTCACACAAAACTAATGCAAAGGTTAATGATTTAAATGGCGAGACATCCATCATCGCAAACAATTCAAATAGTATACAAAAACCTCCAGATCCGTTATGAATGAATTGATCCTTGTTTATATAAATTTCTGCCGTATTAGTTGTTATTTTTTACTACAAGCTTTCGTCTGTTCCTACAGACATCTTCAGGTATAGAATAGATGTTGTTTTTTTTGTTTTTTTCTCTTAGTAATAAGAGGACAACCAATAACTCTTTTTCAATAGCATTTTCGGATACAACAACACATATATTTTCGTTGTCCTCTTATTACTAAGAGAAAAAAACAAAAAAAAAACAACATCTATTCTATACCTGTAGGAACAGACGAAAGCTTGTAGTAAAAATACAATAAAAAATAAATTGTAAGTCCAGAGCAACATTAGATCTTAACGTTTATTCCAACTTAATCTCAATAAAAACAAAATAAATAACAAAACATGTATTTTTCTCAGTTTCTTCTTTGAATAATTTTATCATATTTTAAACTTAATATTTATTAAATTTAAAATTGGTAATTTGAATTTTGAATTTTATAGTATAATCTAATAATTAATTAGTATAAATTCTATTTTAGTCTAACCC